CCCTAAAATAGAACTCCATCCACCAACACTAGCTCGGTTGGACCATTTACCACTTTACCATCTACTGGAAGCCCCAATAACATACTCACATCTTCCAACGTAATTGTGCATTCACCGTTTGAAAGATTAAATGTATGAGTTTAAAGGTCTCCACCGTTCTAGTAAGACTATAATTAACGTGTAGACCCTATTGTAGATACATGTTAGAAACCAAATTGATGTAGGTAAGAGATTATAACTGCATATGGCTTTAGAGGTTTGTGAGCACGAATTCTCCATTTTGAAATATAAGTATCATCAATTTGTAATAAAAATAAATAATATAGAAAAATATCTAACATTTCTATGCAACAAAGTTTTAAGAACAAAACTAATATTGTAAACTCAAAAATAAATAATATTAATAATATTGAAAGAATCAAAAATATTTACAGCATTGATATTTTCTACTGTTCTCCTATGTTGTGAAAAACTGGTTGAAGACTTATCAAAAGAGAGTAGAGAGTGTGTAGTGGATAGAATGAAGTATGTTTGTGGAAAAATGAGGTGAGAGTGATTGAGTATTTATAGGAAAAATTTGAGAGTGATGATAATTGGTTGGTAGTTGAATAATTTAATGAAATGTGGTTGGTAGGTAGTAGAGTAATTTAATTAGAGTTGGTAGGTAGCTGGATAATTTAATAAAAGTTGAATAAATAAAAATTTGTATATTTATTGAGAATATTGTAAATTACACGGTTTTGTACACAACAATAAAACTTCGTCGGCTGATCTACTGAATCTAACATACAACTAAAACGGTGTCTTATTAACACCAATTCGAAAATCCTCAAACATGTTAAATACATCTGTATCTGTAACTAACTTTGTAATATGCTGCATCAACACTCCATTTTCGTTGATTGTAGCCCGATTGAAAGATATTTATGTAATGCTCCTATTAATATCTGTGATTTGGCGTAATTTATTTTTCAAGTGAATGAGTTTAGATCTTTCCATAAGTCGTACAACTAAAGGATTAGAAAATGCGTTTTTATAATCACACATAGCAACTTGTGAATTATACGGAATAATGTATACTGAGCAAAGTATCAGAGTCATTTTAATGTGAAAACATAATCATTTTTTGTTGCATTTATATACATGGCATGCATGCTATTCACGCCAACAGCTATGCCCTCACGCCATTTGACATGGCGCGTGTCAAAACTTCGCGCCATTTGAGAAGGCGTGTATGAGAAGGTTCACGCCAATTGAGTTGGCGAGAGTCTATGCTGAGAAGCTTCACGCCATTTGAGATGGCGACACCAGACGTGAAATGAATTCAAAATTTCTTTGTTTATTAAGACCAATGCAGTTGTCTCTTGTATCCACACTACAATTGAATATTACTTTAAACAATGTCACAAAATCATATTTCTTGTCTCTTACATTTCAATGGTAATATTTTTACTGATGATAATTTGGAGTGGTCTTTCAAAATACAGATACACATATTTTAAATATTCATCGAAAAAGTGATTCAGCCCACTTGACGAAAAAAATAGAAGAAACTTTACAATAACATGTAACTTCTATTTTTTATCGATTTCCAATAGTTAATCCAGTTGATCATAATGTCACATACAACACTGCAAAAATCGAAGACGATGAAGATATTTGTTCAATGCTTCAATGTCACTCAAGGTTTTACAGTCAACAAACAATGGAGTTGTATATTTGTTTTCAACAAGTACATGAAGTATATCCAACGCAATCATCACAAATTCATGCATATCAACAAAGTCAGGCCTCGCTACAAGAGAAGAGTCTGTCCAAACACAACATAACGAGCCATTATTTCCCAAAGAGGAAGTGGGTGATGATACTGATTCCGGCGATGCCAAACGAATTAATTTGTTTAGTGGGTCCAGTGACGAGTCGGGTGACGATGACAGACATGAGGCAGACCTGACTCCTATACTTGATCTATACAACCCACCGTATAACTTAAAAAATGTTTCATTTGAGTGTGTGGAACCAATTTCAGTCTTTGAACTCTTTGACGAAGGTGAGTCACGTGAAGACTTAAAGGTTGGTATGACGTTTGAAAACAAAGAAGCATGTCTCCATGCAATATCTGAGTATCACATAAAAAATTCTTATACTTTTAAGGTTTATAAGTCTGATCCAATACAATATTTGATTAAATGTAAAAAGGAGGGATGCAACTTCACATGTGGAGCTTCATTAAGGGATGGGTGTGGTCAATGGGTTACTGGCATAATTGGAGGGCCACACAGTTGCATGTCGACTGTTATATCTCAAGATCACCAAAAGCTTACCTCAAAGAGGATCACCCATAACATCAGACCTCTTGTCGACAGTGACGCGACAATCAAAGTTAGACATATTATTGCTCAAATTCGTACGACTTATGGCTACACCGTGTATTACAAAAAGACATGGATTGCAAAGAACAAAGCAATCAAAGATATTTATGGCAATTGGGAGGCCTCTTACAACAACCTTCCGCAGTGGTTGCTAGTCATGCAACAATTTCTCTCAGGTACCATCATAGATCTTGAAACACTTCCTGTATATTCAAATGAAGGAACACAGATTGGTGGTGCAAGAATTTTCCATCGCCTTTTTTGGGCCTTTCAACCTTGTATTAGGGGTTTCGCACATTGCAAACCTATAGTGCAGGTAGATGGTACATGGTTGTATAGAAAATATAGGGGAACATTGCTCCTGGTTGTTGCACAAGATGAGAATAGTAATATTTTCCTAATCGCATATACATTGGTCGAAGGTGAGACCGGAGGCTTGGAGTTTCTTTCTGAAAAATTTGAGACTCCACGTCACACCCCAGTCAGGCTTATGTTTGATATCTGATCAACATGAGTCTATTAAGAGTGCCTACAATAACCCGGACAATGGCTCGCAAAATCCACCCTCGGTACATGTGTATTGCATTAGGCACATCGCACAAAACTTCATGCAAGCCATCAAGGACAAAAACCTTCGCAAGATAGTTGTTAACATGGGTAATTTATTCTCTAATTTTTAACATGGCATTTAGATATATAATTCTTTTATATTAATGTTTTTAATGCTTATAAGCATGGTATGCACTTAATGAGTCTATATACGCATACTATCGGGAGGAGATCCGTCAAACAAACACAACGACTTTCAATTGGATAGAGAACCTTCCAAGATAAAAATGGTCGCGAGCTTACGACAGAGGAGCACGATGGGGTCACATGACAACCAACTTTGCTGAATCTTTGAACTAAGTGTTGAAGTAAACCCGCAACCTACCTATTACATCACTTGTAAGATCAACATACTACAAGATGGGAACATTGTGGGGGAAGTGAGGAAAGGATTGGATAAAAAAATTTGTCATCGGGAAAGGAATTCACAGATAACTGCATGAAAAGAATTGCAGAAGAAGTAGAAAAATTCCACAGTTATAATGTCTTGCCTTTTGACCGTGAAAGTCACTATTTCGTGGTCCAAGAGACGGTTAATAATAGGACTTGTCGGTCACTTAGTCATTTCAACGTCAACCTCCAAACACGAACTTGTGACTGTGGAAAATTTCAAACTTTTCATCTGTCTTGCTCACATGCTATCGCGACTTGTTCTCACATTAACCACGACTATACTAAGTTTATTCCTGATTTGTATAGAGTTATAAACGTCTTCAAAGTTTATATACAAAGTTTCATCGGTGTTCCCCAAGAAGATAGTTGACCTCCATATTTGGGTGATACTCTTTTGCATGATGAAACAAAAAAGGTCGCTCGAACAGTACTCGCATTAGAACTGAAATGGACATTGTTGAGAAAATAAAAAGACGATGTGGAATCTGTCAACAACCACACATGCGCAAAAAATATCCGCATCGCCTCAACAATGCAAGCCCTTCTAACTAATTTTATCCATGTATTGTTATTTATAACTACTTCTAACTATATTTTTTTATTTAGTAAATTGATTGTAATTGTTAAATTTTATTACTTAATAATAATTTTTATTATTTAATTATAATTTTTAATTTTTAATTATTTAAAATTTTAAATTATTATTTTATTTATTTATTTTATGATTAAGTAATATATTAAATAATTTATAATTACTAATAAAATTAAATAATAAAAATAATCAATTTAAATAAAGAAAAATTAGAAAACTAATAAAATTAAATAATAAAAATAATCAATTTAAATAAATAAAAATCAGAAAATGAATTAAAAAAAATATAAGCTCTTTCACGCCATTTGAGTTGGCGAGAATCCTTATGCTGTCCACTGAGTCTCACATTTGCGCCATTTGAAATGGCGTGAAGCTCTCTGTGTTGCATTATGGGGTTTTCGTTTCATGCTGTGACATTGTAGAAATTTTATTTCACAAGTATGGCATTGTAGGGAAAAATTTGAACAAAAACAAATCTAAAACAAGGCTTGCACAAAAGAAATGAATCAAAGGGATTGACTGATTCACACAAAGTTGGAATTGGAATTGGAATTCGAATTATACTAGCTCAAGTACACATGCAAAAACAAAGGAGTTGACAGGTGAAATTGTGTTTGAAAAGATTGACCTGCGTCTCCTCTATGCACCCTTTCATTTTACAACCAAAATATTTGATTCTTCTTTGTCTCTTATCCTATAATTGTCAAGCCACATTTCAGAAGATGACATAAACTTTTAGAGACACAAGTACAAAATAAATTTAAAAAACCACGTAGACAAGACAGACAAAAAACCAACAGTTTAATCAATTAACATTACTGTTAATTTCAAGTAACAAACAAACAAAAAAAATTGAATTTTATGTCTCATCCATCCATGTCCAACAGTGTTGATGTCCATATCGATCCATGTCCTTCTTTCTTGTCCATCTTCCATCCATGAACCATCTTCTTGTCCAATTTCCATCATCAATAGTAATAATTAAAAATAACTCTATAGATTAGAAAATAGCTATAGGTAGCAGCTACCTAGACTTAGAAATCATGAGAGTGATGGTACATTGTTGGGTCACATCCATGACCAGCTTGAGATCCTTGACGATTCATGGCTTCCCTTTGACTATTGTGTCCACTATCATCATCACCACCACCACCCATTTGAGTAGCAGCAAGGTTCAGGTACACCAATCTTGAATCCGAATTCAGGTTACCAGTGTTTTTATTATTGTTGTTTCCACTACTGCTGCTGCTATGATCTTCACTCATTGGAGGGTAAATCTGCGCTGATGATGAAGAAGCATTGTTGTTGTTATTGTTTTCTTCACGTGAGAGAACAAGAGCTGCGGATTGAACAAGTTCCAAACACAATCTTAACTTGTTTGGTTCAATGTGGGTTAGTCCAGGAACAGCACCTTTGAAGAGAAAATCAGAAGTTAGGGTTCTGAGTATATCCAAAGGTGTCACACCATCAACGGTTCTTACTGTGGGGTCTGCATGGTGATCAAGCAAAACTGCCACCATTTCCGGCGAAACCATCTCGGCGGCCACGTGAAGCGGAGTTTTCCCGGCCGGTCCAGCCGGGTAGTTAACATCAGCAGCACCTAGTTCGAGCAAGGCTTTCACCACTTCTCTGCTGCAATTCTCTACTGCATAGTGTAATGCCAATGCTTCATCCAGGTTTAGGCCTTCTCCCATGACCATGAGTTTGACCAGTTCCACATCCGAAGAGTCAAGAGCACGCCTCATTCGGCGGATTTTCTGGTCCTCTAGATCCCCGAGGTCGTGGTAGTGGTGGTGTTGATGGTGGTGCAGTGGCATTAAGGAACGGCGGGCTAAGGATGATTTGAGACGAAGCTCTTCAATTTTGGCTACAACATCGATAGGAAGATGCTTGGCTAGAATTTCGGGTGGAAGACCCGACTTGGCAACAAGGTGGGAACATGTTGTCCAAACTTGGTTCATTTCTTTCTTTCTTGAAGCTATTAGTACTTTCATCACATCGTCTATGGAGGCTTTCTCTACCATGCTGGCTAGTTGCTTCTGTTATAAGTGTTCACAACAAATCAATCAAGCAATATTGAGAGTAGAGTAATCTTCTAATATTAGTTGTATAATAATTATGGTATTGAGAGAATTATCATTTTAAATTTTTAAAAAGTCTGAACTTACACTATCAGAGTTATCTTTGAGGAATGGAGATTTGTTATTTGAAAATGAAAAAATAAATAAAGGAAGAGAAGAAATTTTCGTTTGAGTTATCTTTCTATTTTGTAACCGAAACCCAAATGAGGAAATCGATGTTATTTGGGAAAGATTTTGTGTGCTCCTTGTGCAGAAGACAAGATTGGATATCTATGTAGTATCTTCTTAATTTAGAAATATTAACTTTGCATTCTTATACACCAATTCGAGAAACTCTAAACACATGCAGGATTTTAAAAAATGGTCTGTGGCCGCGAAAACGGCTGCGACAAAACGGAAACGGTTTTGAAATGTCGATACCGATACTGTTATCACTAAATTGTAGTAAGTTCACACTGCAACGACCGCAATACATCTTTAATGGCCGAAATTACGAAAACTTTTACACAACCGCGACAGTTTTTTAAGACCTTTAACATATGCTACATCAAATCAACCACCAAATTAAAATATTTTTGTTGCAAGAAAACCTCAAAGCATAACTATGCGAAGAATGATTGTAATGACATGAAGGAATTTCTTGGAAGATAAAAGAAGGTATATCAAAAAGATGAAAAGATTACCCATAAAATAACCCAGATGAAAGGGAACAAAACCCAAAAAAAAAAAAAAAACTCAAAATATATAAAAATATATAGTATATATGAACTAAAATACCTCTTCCCACATCCCAAAAACCATACCTTGCACTAATTCTCCATGCATATATTCCCAAGAACCAGTAAACATATATGACTGACTGGCCTCACAAATCAAAGACACAGAGAGAGAGAAAGTGTTTGGTACAAGTCTATTATAATAAAAATAAAAACCTGAGTGAGCAATGCAAGCTGTTCGACACCAAAGTATCTAGCAGCAGCAAGGGTGTCAAGGGCAAGATCCACGGCTGAGCTACAATGCGTATGCCAGCAACCTCTCTCACCGCAATTAGGTCTAGGTTCATGTTTGTGAGGAACAATAGAAACTTGTCCACTGTACAGAAACTGCAAGAGTAGGAGGAACACCTCGTATCCAACAGAGTTCACCGGGATGACACCAGTTCTTGCTGTTGTTTGTCGAGATGATCCTCCTCCTGTCGGGTCTAGTCCCGATGGTGGATCGGGCCTACAAAAGAATTTCCTGAAAAAGAGACTCCTTGCTGCTAAGATGCAGCGATGAGCGTGAACCAAACGACCTTCCACTTGGAAAGTCACGTCGCTGAAGGCTTGCCCGTTGATCAGGAGGTTCAGGTAGTCAAGGGAGAGAGATCTAAGAGACTCTTCAAGAGACATGTTTCTTGTTCCTGTTACTACTGTACTGTTTCAGTGACTGAAGAGAAGAGACTAGAGTAGAGTAGAGTATACCCTATTCAACAGTTTAGGTTGGTCCCTAGGCTAACACTATATGATGACAACTACTCAAAAGGTAAGAGAAGAGTGATTGGAATGAAATAGTGAGGAAAGGTTGGGTTTTATTTGTTTCATCTTTGTGTTGTTTTCCTTGATGTTGATCAAGTTACTGTCATAATTCTTGTTTTTATGGGAGAATGAGTGTGTGAATGGAGGAGAGTGGTTTTAGTTGTGTTATTTTTACTTTCTAGAGAGAGAGAGAGAGAAAGTGTTATCTGGGTGGCTATTCTGGGCGGCTGGTGTTTTTAACAAACAAAATTAACTGTGAAATTTTTGGGACCTGTATTGTCTACAAACCAATTCTCTGTACCAGCCAGGCACTTATTGAGAAAATTATACTGCACACACCATATTCATTCTAAAACATTTCCAATTAGAGGACTTAAACAACTCATCTCTTTTTAACATTTATTTTACTCTATCTTGATAAATTTCAACAGTTCACTCATATTAAAAAAAACTATAATAACAAAATATATCTATATATTTTTACTAAAACATTCTTTCTTGTAAATTCACAATTATAATAATTGTAAAGTGAAATACATTATATTGGGAGGTATATATCGAGTAATAATTAGAAAGTGCAATTGAAAATGTTTGAGCTGTATATTTGTTGTGAAACATTCTGCATAAACTAGAAATCAAACTTAATTGCTTTATTAATTTTTGTTAGTAGTGGTGTAGTTGATAATTGATAGAAGATAGTTTTAGAGAGTTGTTTAGAAAGAAGGCTATGTCATTGATTTCTTGGATGATCCATTACAAGATACCAAATGTCTATTTATAGGCTCAAGTCACAAACTTCTCAATGGTGGTGAATGTTTCTACATTACTTTAGATTTTTCTAGAGTTTTCATGATATGTTAGTATCATGATAGTTTTAAGTTCTTCTATCTTTTACATATACTTATAGTTCTAGATTATTCTATCATACTCATACATACTATAGTTTCTAGGGTATTCTACCATTACCATACATATTATATTTAGAATATTCTAGAAATTTGTAGCAATTTCAACACTCCTCCTTGATGCAAATTTCTGTAACTCCAAACATAGTTCGCAGTTCTTCAAATCTTGGTCTCGGTAACACCTTCGTGAATATGTCTGCAATTTGTTCTTTGTAATGCCCCGATAATTTAATTAATTGTTTAATTAAAATTATTAGTTGGAGTTGAGTAATGTTGTGAATTATTGTTAAGTTGCTTTGTGTCATTATTTGATTAAATGGTGGTTTAATAATATTAAATATATTGGAGCATTATAAGATTAATTGTTGGGCTTATTTAAGTGATGTCATGTAGTAAATATGGGAGTGTGGGTATTGGCCCAATAAGAATTACTAGAATTACAAGGTTAAGAGGATATAAAAGGAATTAGGTTAATTGAGAAAAAGTGAGAGAATAGATGGGAGAAACTCATTCCCGTTTTTATTGTAGCAGTCTCACTAAATCGGTAATTCCCGATTCGTTAACCGTTGGATCATACTCGAATTTTGAGGGTAGGTTCGCAACACCTACATCTAACCTTTGACTGTTGGGATCTTCAAAATAAGGTTTGAGTTGGGAGATATCATCATCGCACTATAGCTGCATATTTGAGAAAATTTTCAGCTTTGATTCTGATCTACAGAGATAAAAATCTTGGAAGGTTTTGGTACAAGAGAAGTTGCAGAGGAGAGAAAAATAAGGGTTTTGAGGAGAAGAAGAGGGATACGTGGAAGTTACATCAAGCGGCCAAGAGGAGATTCAGTCGGAGACCCTTAGAGTTACCTTCAATCCAAACCAGGTAAGGGTGGGATTCAATCTCTATAACCGGGTATATGATAAATCGTATGTGGGGTTGGGTTGTATAAATTTATGCTATGAATTATTGTCGATTAGGTTATATTGTGATTCTGTGAAGATTATCAGTCCTGCAATTTTAGTTGTCAGTGAATGTTCATAATGTGTTGATGAAGTTGTTCTGTAATTTATTTAAATCATATTTCTGTTATGATGTTGTTATGGCTATTATTGAGTTGTTGTCCTAAGATGAGACTCGAAAAAACATGTAGGCGTGGTGGAAAGACTATGTCATATCTTATATTATTAATAATTTAATATAATTAGTAAAATAATTTAGTATCATATTGGATTAAAGAAGTTGCGGGAATAAATTGTAATGCTTTAGTCAAATGAATAGCAAGATGTATATGTAAGAGTAGCAGAAATAATAGTGTATGGACTAATTTAGCTGAGCATTGTTAAGAAGTATCAGTAGATGTAGAAATTGAAAATTATCATACAGAAAGTATAACGGAGAATTTTAAGTAACAAGGGGAATAAGTTGAAATTGGTTTTGGTTTATAACTAATATTTGTCACTGGCAGAAAGTTGTAGTAATAGAAGTTGTAGATAGCAAACAAGTAGTTTTTGCGGAGACCAATAATAACAGTAAGCTAAATAACAGAGGTAGCGTAATTTAGTAGAATAAATTGATTAGTAGCAGTATAAATAAATAGTAGTAATAACAGTATATAAAACAGTACCGATTAGCCGAATTTGTAGATTTAGGCGATAAAAGTAGTTAACCGGAATTAGTTGAAATTGTCGGAGTGAGTCGTATATACATATGGGTATTTTTAGTTGGTTTGTTTTGTTAGAATTATGTAGAATAAAGTTGATTTGCAGATGAAGTCGAATTAAGTTGAATGGTTCCGGTTTATGGAATTGTGTTGTATACCTTGCTGAAAAATATGAATTGCAGGTGATGATGAATTTGCTTGAATTGCCTCTATTTATGGGAAATATTATGTTGTAGGCCTATGACCAATGTTGAGATGTTGTGTTATTGTGATTGTCTCTGTGAATTCTTGTTGACAATGTGAAGTTGCATATATTTTAGATGATGATGAATTACCTTTATTTACTGGTAATAATGGTGATGTGGGCTTATGCCTTGCGATGAATGATGATTGTTGTTAGTATGTGATGGTGCATTCATTGAGTCACATACATTTGCATACTCTGTGATGGCCTGTATTGGCGGATTTTATGAAGGCCTGTATTGGCAAACTGCGAAGAAGGCTTATGCCTTTTTGATGCCTCTATTAATTAGTAATTTTTAAGTTGGGAGTTCTGCTCCGATGGTACCACATGCATGTGCATTGTGATTGAGTCGCATTTGATGTTGCATCTTGAGTTATGGTGAAGATAGATTCGTTGTTGCTTTATGTTGTTGACTTGTTGTGACAAGTATTATCTAAAAGTTGTGAATTTAGTAGTTATATCGTGTTGATGTTTTATTGTGAGTAAAGTTGTTTGTAAGTTGTGAAGTGGTGATTTTATATGATTTGATTTAATATATTATTTATCATATGACTAATTATATAGTTTGATATCTCACTCCTTCTGTTTGAATATTGTCTTCTGTTGGTAACGTGCAGGTAATCAAGAAGGATAGTTATTACCCCATTAGTTTGAGTCGGTATTGTCGCTCTGATACGTAGCACTCGGGGGGATGAACGCTTAATGTTTTTTTGTTGATTATTATTTCAGTTGCTGAATTTTTAAGTTGATTACATGAAATAATTGTTTTCTTGAGGTTGTTTTAGTTGAATAAAAGATGTTAAGTGAATTTAAGTTGAGTATGTATATTTCGTTGCTTACCAATAAAAATTTGTTTGATTATGAAGAATAAATCATATTGTTATCGGTTCATCTGAGTTAAGTGTTATGTATCTGTTTGTATGCGATTAAATGAAGATTGATTTTTAGTTGAAAATGTAGCATCCTATTTATGTTGAACTCTAATTTTCTTATTATCCGCCGGGTAGAAATGGGGTGTTACATTAGTGGTATCATAGCAGGTCGGTCTGTCCGACCAAGTTGTCTAATTTTGTTTGTTCCTTAGTGCGCGACAAGTGTGTGAAACACTGTCGATACTTGTTTGCCTTAATTGCAGGAAGTTGGTTGAAGATAAGTGGGGGAGAAGCTTTGCTTCTCGAATATGTTCAATTGAAAGGTGTTGGTTCGGTGTGCTGCCGACAACGACAATGCAAGAATTGTTGGAGTCTTGTTGTTCCCGAATTTGAAGGTGACTTAGATTCAAGGTCTTGTTGTTAGTCGAGTTAGAGCACCTTGAGAGAAATTGATCAGACATTGTTGGTGCTTACTTCTCGAAGAATGAAAAGCGATGTAATATTTGTTGATTTACGAAGCAAGTGTAAGATGTCGATGTTTGAACAATGATGGAGTAATAAAGTTGCTATAACTTTTGTGTTGGGATCACATAAGTGATTGTCGGAAGTAGTTGATGTTGATAAGTAGTTGTGAATCGCAAGTCTGAGTCGAAACTTGAAGAAGTGAGTAGCGTTGCGAAAAGAATTGTTGCCCTGGTGTTTTGGAACCCGAACTTTGGCGAAGGAATGCATCTCTCGAGTTATAAGAAGTTTGGGAGCACGAGATATGTCAAGCGTTGTTTGGAATATGTCTAACTTGAAGACAAATGAGTTTCGGAGTGGAATTTCTGTAAGCGAATCGCAGGAAACTGCAGAATTATTGTGGGACTTCGAAAATTCATAACTAGAGTTTCGGGCATCCGATTTGAGTTTGGTTTGAAGCGTTGGAAAGCTAACGAAATGAGATTCATTTTAAAAATGGTTCCAGTAGCTGTAATAGATTCATTTATCACATGATGATATTGGCAGTAAGTGCAGTTTGTTGTTAAGCTTGTCTTTGGGACTAGACTTGTTCTTCAGTGTTGTACGGGACGTCAACGTCCGAGTTGGGTGAATTAAAGGAGCAATTGGAAGATTTATTTAAATTAATTTGTGAAATCAAATGTATCATTTGTAAATATTTGGTGTTATAAATTAGAACAAAAGACTATAGTGCGAA